ACAACCCAGTGGGCTGCAGTAACCAGTAACACGATTTTAAAGGAATCTTCCACGGAAAAAGCTCCGCCCTCATTACCACAGAAAACGATACCTTAAAGGAATCTTCCACGGAAAGAGTGATCATTTTGTCTTGTGTGTAGGATTAGTATTATCGAAACTAACGCTTATGTTTCCGTTCTTTTTGCTATGCTCATGAGGCTAGGGGCCTAAGGTATCGTTTTTCTGTGGTAATGGAGGCGGAGCTTTTTCCGTGGAAGATTCCTTTAAGTTTCGCTGCTGTACTTAATGACTTGTCTCTTTCTAGGGGTTCTCGGTCACGTGGGTTTCAGTCGATGAAAGGCAAGAGTCATATGGAAGGACTGAAAGAGAACGGTGATGTGCGTCCGACGGACTCGGCTCCAAAGAAGGATCCGAAACAGGGCGAGATCGACATCAAAGCGTTACAACAGAAACGAGCACATGCTGAGATCACACGGCAAGTACACTTTGAAGATTTCTCCCAGATACTCTTGAATCTGCTGATATGCATCGAAAAAGTTACCGCCATGCATTCATCAATCTGATTTCAGCAATCGTATTGAGGAGGAGATGCGAGAAAATCATCCGCTCTTCGATCGGCCACTGTTTGCTGTTGGACGCGACTCACGTCTACGAATTCTCTGTCAAAACATTGTTTATGCGCAGTATTCACCTGAAAGGATAGATCCAGTCACTGGCAAGCAGATCGTCCTGAAATACAAGCAGCTACAGTGAGTTGTACTCTTCCGTCTAGGTTCGGCGATCTAGGGCTCACCGCAAGCTCAACCAGGATAAAGGCCCGTTTGGTAGAATCAGATGGGGAGGGCCGTATATGTATATTATAGGCGGTGGGCTAGAAATGTTTTGAATTCAAAGGATTAAAGAAAATTGCAGAGAAAAGCCTTCCCCGATGCGCTTTTGAAGCTTAGCATGGGGTGAGGGAAATGGGTAGTTTAAAGCGGGTTGGGTTAATCCGGACTCGCCGACTCATCGACACGATCAACTGTCGGAAAAGCACAGTGAGAGAGTGGGGTCCTACATTTCAATTTGGAGATACGCCCTCATTGATACTGGCTCCAACTTCTGCTCTACTTCAGCGACTTCATCGGTCTTATGACGTACCTCGACTGGGCGATGGTTTTCGTCACATCGTTGTCGTGCTGGTCGATGTTGTTCGAGAGCCCTTGGCCGACTACCGGAGAGAACCTCATCTTCAACAACCCATACTTGCAGGTCGAAATTTTTCCAGTGTTATCAACGCCTTGCTTATTCAAGCACGAATTCAACGTGTGCTCTTTTCAGATCACCGAGTACCTCTACGTGGTCTCGATGACCTTCGAACTGATGGTGAAAGTGATTGCAAACGGCCTGTTTTTCACTCCAAAAGCTGTTGTGAAGGATGTCGGCGACATCATGACCTTCTTCATATATTTCGTAAGTTGATTACAAAACATGTTACTTTTTCGTGACAGCAGCAGTCGAACATGTCCTTTTTGCCTGCTGAACGACTCTCCGAACAAAATCATGCTTTTTTGCCAAAATGTAGTGAGGAGATGGCCTAACGGTAAAAGAAGGAGGTTTGCAGGACCGACGTCGGAGGGTCGGATCCATCCGTGCACTGATCGGTTTTTTTGCTTTTGAAACTTTAGAAGGAAGAAAGTTGTCATAAGCCTAAGCCTAACAAAGCTTGACAGTAGTTTTATATCGGCGAATTTCCCTTCGAAGCATTCTGACTTTGACAGTGTGGCACTCCAGAGTACACAGCGCATGATCGAAACCTTTTTGCATCAGGCGAACGTGCCCTTTGTCCCAGAATGACAGACTACCCTTTAAGGACGAATTTTTTAATCAAATCGAGATTTTGACCTTTACATCGAGAAATCGGGCGTGCCCATAGATAGTCATGTCCCGCTGTCGCTGGTCTGTTCAGCGCCGGCCACGATTACAACCTCTACGTGCAAGAAGAGTGTTTTCGTTGGAACTCTACCCACAGAGTTAGTTTAAGATCCTAATCACGAGTACATACAGTAGCGGTCAAAAGTGTTCGCCGAAACGGTTTTTCGTGCTTCTCTTTTTTTGCCAGAAAAAATCAATGGTGACCTCGAAATTTTTCTTTTGAATATCCTGATTCTTAAGACTTGAGGATATAAAAACACTAGAAAACATAGTATATCAATCTTTGGAGGGCGTTGCTCAAGCGAGAAAAAATAATGCACTAAAAATCGTTTCGGCGAACACTTTTGACCGCTACTGTACTCCAAGCATCAACACCTCATGGGTGCTGCAAAGTGTGCTACGGTTTCCCGGCCAACACAAGCAACTTAGCCGATTACAACTTCTAGATTTTACAGACAAGCGTGATATACCTGCTATGGATGCCGTCTCACGTGGAGATCAACTCGTGGGCTCAACTGTTGATGATCATGCGTGCCATGCGACCACTTCGCATCTATACTCTTGTACCGCACATCAGACGCGTTGTTGTCGAGCTTTGTCGCGGTTTCAAAGAGATTCTTCTGGTAAGCAATCACCGAAATAGTTGGTAATTTTTCCAGAAATATCTTCTGATTTCAGGTCACAATTTTGCTGATAGTTCTAATGTTTGTTTTCGCTAGCTTTGGAGTGCAAATCGTTGGAGGAAAGCTGGCAGCATGTAATGATCCAACAATCACAGCACGAGTAAGATTTTAGTTTGAGTACCGGAACACGATACGAGTAGGCTTAAATGATGACAATATCATGTTGTTCATGATGTGAACAGACTTGGAGATTCTGAGAACTAGTGCAGAGTTCGCCTCTCTAAGATATTCTATGCGCAAAAGCACTTCAGAAGGACACCGTTTTGATCCCGGCATCCTACCAACTCCGCTCATTTGGAGCATCCGGATAAGAGGTGGTAGCAGCCAGTCAAAACATTAAAGCTCGTAGAGCCATTTCGTATTTCGAGTCGGGTTCGTCCAACTTCGGCGGAGTAGACTGTGCAGCCATTGGGGTATCGAAGCTAAAGCCCTACAGTTACCTAAAAGGACTTATTTTTTGAAGGTTTCACGACGACTCTCTTGAGCCTTTTGATATTGTCAAATGAAAGTGTGAACACTGTGGAGCCACACTTTTGGAGTTTCGTACAGTTCAATAAGATGAAGCCATCGCGAAAGACGAGGGTTTCCTCTAGGACTGGGCTTGGAAGGGGAGTGGGCCAGGAATTCCAGACAAAATGAAAATTGTACACGCACTCTGGAATGTTCCTCTCCCGCCTAAGGCTCAGTACCATTTTCGAGAAAAGTGAGATGTTTCACGCGGTTTCAAAAGCATTACCACCAGAATAGCTCCCAATTTTGCGATAGTGCGCAGTGAGATTCACTGAAAAAGTAAAATAAAATGTTTACTCGATTCAACTGACAATGTAGGATCAGAGTAAATGGAACCACCACTTTCCTCGTCCTATGGGTGCCCCAGTGCGCGTCGGCGGTGACCTGACCTATTGAGAGAACATGTCTTCCTCTGAGCGGCTCGGTGTGATACCTGAGGCCAATCACAACTCCCATGAGATGGTACTACCAAAACATTAGTCAGAAATGCGCAGTAATCCCAGAGATTCCGTGAACACGCTCGACGTGTCCATCAAAGAAACACTGCTGAAGGTGAAAGTAGCTTAATCGCAGCATGAGGTGGTTTTCCCCGTGGTCGTTGTTTTTTCACAACGTTTTCCATCAAAAAAATCGGTTGCTTGTTCAGGAAAACTGCACCGGGGTGTTTGAGCAAAAGATTTTCGTTACTAGAATGGAGGTGTA